TCGCTGCTACCTTCTTCTTCCCCAGAGGATCCATTTGTTCTCTGCTACGATTTTTTCCCCGTGTGCCAAGGGTCGCTGAAGTACGCCCAGCATTCGGCACTCGTCATGGAAAAAGGGTACGAAGACCTCAGAGATTTTGAATACCGTCTCCAGATAATGGACGATGCAGAATATCCGGTGCCCACCACCATTGATCCTGCAGTGGTCCAAGCTGCACTGAAGGTGGCCGCCAAGGGATTGCAGACGCTGCATAGCAAGGCGAAGGTAGTCTATACGGATCTCAAAGCGGAAAACCTCATCTTCATGGAACCCCAGGACCAGCTGGAGCCACCGGCTATTGCTACCATCAAGGGAATCGATTTGGAATCCTGCATACCGATCCGGGGCAACCCCTTGGACTACACACCGGAGGCCAGTCCGCCGGAATTTGCCGTGTATCACCTGCAGGGAAACCCCTACGATTTCGTCCTTGACTACTCGTACGACGTGTGGTCCTTTGGGATGCTGGCGTACGAACTGGCCACCGGCAGGCCCTATTTCCGCGGGAACACGCCCGAAGAAATCATGCACATCCTGGGGGATCCCAGCTTTGTTCCGCCCCAGCTGTTTCCAGAGGGTGGGGCAGCCCGGGGGGATCTTCCCGATCTCGCGGACCTGGTGCGGTCCTGCCTACAGGTCGATCCGAGGCAGCGCATCTCGGTGTCGAAAATCCTCAAGCACCCTTACTTTCGCAACCCCATTCCACCACCGGGTGGAGGGGCAGAAGAAAGCGATCTCGATTCGCCGTTCAATGYTCTGGACCAGCAGCAGCGACTGGGTGGGACCTTTTGGTAAACGAGCGAGCAAAAAAGCGACCGCCATCACACGCCGTCCAACCATCCGTTTGCACTGACGCATTTASTGGGAGGATTTTTGGACGAGTCCAACTTGCATCCACTGCGAGAAAATTTTTGTGAGGYCGATATGCATGTATTGCCGCTCGTTTGTGGACACTGTGAGTTTGTAACATTAATCGAGTAAGGAACTATTAAACCATCTACTACTGTCAGCTCTTGAGGAAGAATTTTTTGGTCTCGTGTTGGAAAACTGTTGTAGCAGTGTGCTAGCTGCGATTGATTTGGTAGAAACCGTCTTCTTGTTACATCTAGTACAGTTCTGCGGACCTGCTAAATGCCGTTACTACCTAGGACGGGTGCTGTTCACATCTTGAGGGAAAACTTTGCTTCCATTTTTTTTTCGGTGTTCTGAACCAAACAAAAGGATTGCTTTTTGGATTCCACTCCAAGAAGACATGATAAGATGCTGCTATTTTTGTCGCATGCTCTGTTTTGTAATATGTTTTCATACTAGCAGTGTCCATTTTCTGGATTAGATTGAAGGGTATTGATATTGCTCTCTCTGAGAAACTACTGCTGTGTTTTGGTTTGTTTGCATAATTTACATCAGCTTGATCTTGGACGAGTTACAAGTGAGCATCAGGGTCAGAAGCAGACAAGTCAAAATCAGAATTTTCCCATGGGGGACTTCACCCCAACATGGTTCCTGCTTATCATTGATCAAGAAATTCAACCTTGCCATTCACTATCTCCTCCACCATGTTTCAGATGGGTCAATCACTATTTGGAACTCCTGGAAAGCCAAAAATATAATATCTCCTCCTCTGCAGCTGTTGACAGGAAACAACAATTAGACTTTTTGAGAGCTGCAGAAATAATTTGGACTAGTATTCTTTTCCTTGTTTTGCATAATATTAAGGGTATTATGCATGTCTCATTTTTGGCCCTGGAAGAAAGAAATAACCCAAAAATCAAGGTGGCTCAACCTTGACCATTACTGATGCAGACTACTAGCAGTAGTAGTAGTAGTACTAAGAATAGTGATAGTCATACTACAATGTGGCGTCATAACAAATATATGAATGAATCAATGGTAAAGAATGGATCCAAAGAATTTTTTTCTTCTGTACTAGTGACATTTTCATGCCCTCTCAAAGAAATGTTTGATGCCAGACACATGGCCACTATTTCTTGCTGTGATACTGGAAGAGCTCTGGTATTACTACTAGCAATGGTAGGAATATTGACTAGTACTACTAGTAGTATTAGAAACAAAAAATTGAAGATATAATAATCTACACAATACATTTCTTTTCTGGCCCATAATGTCCCCATCTCTACATGATTATTTATAGTTTGATTTTAACCAATGACTGTGTGGTGATGGTAGTACTACTACTACTACTACAAGAACATGCAAAAACAAAACTAGTAGTACTATTACTAATACTACTACTACTGGAACACCATGTGAGAAGTAATAAGAAAAATTAAATAGTTGTTTAGCATTATTTCTATTTGTGTGGCTGGAATAGCCATTGAAAATGGCTTTTACTACCAGTAGTAGTAGTAGTAGTAGCTGGTGTAGTAGTGTACTACTAGAGTATTTTTGTACTTCAAACAACAAGGGTTTCACCAGTAGTACTCATTTTGATTTTAAATATTTGTACAAACTAGTACTCCTTGAAGCAAAAAAAGATTAAAAATTTTATGATGTTCCTATGATTCTCTTCAGTGCAGGGAACTTCCATGCTTCTTGTTATTGGGCATGATTGTTGTTCAAACAAGTAATTGGTAGCTAGTACTTGGTACCAGGTGCTACCATTGTTGCAGTTTTTAAGCATTAGTATGAACTCTACACACTCACTACTACTTCAACTCACGAGTAACTTTTTCCCATCTTTGCCATGAACACCCCCCCCCCTTTTTTTTGCTGGATACAGAATAATCCTGTCTGAACCTGTGTGGCAAGTACTAGTAGACTGCAGTTCATGCAAGTCATACTTACTATGTCACCCAGCTCTGATGCTGTTTCCTCAATTGAGAACATGAAAGAACTCATTGATCATGCATGGCATCTCTAATAACAAGTCATTTGATCTTTACCCAGATAAATTGGAATCTCATTGTCACCAGAATTCAACCCTCAAGAGTCCATCCTAAAAGCAACAATCTTCTTGCACAATATTTTTGAAGACCATGAAGAAGCCCAGACCACCCCCAAAGCCATATTTTCCTGTTCTGACTCTTCAATTTAGAAGGACACAAAGCAATCAGTTTTCACAATTGGTGAGAGCATCTGCTGCTGGTTAGTATATTAACATATTCAGTTGGAACAGGACATAGATGAGTAGGTGATGCTAATGCTTACAAACATGATTTTTAAGTTAGGTGATTGCAATCAAAAGGGATGGTTTTCTCCCTGACCCCCTATTTCTTGGGGCTGGTCTTCCTTGATGAATATTGACGGTTTCTTGTGAACTTCCCTTTGTCAGAAACAAAATCATGAGCAAGGAGAATGGATTTGCAATTAGACAATATGCCACATCCATTTTGATGACAATAGAATCCAAGCCAATCACACTGATGAGGAACCCCTCTACAATATCAGGGCTATGATCTAGAAAATCACTAATATTCTTCATCTTTGTAGTAGTGACTGGCATACTCATGCTGACCTCCTAGTACTATCTGTTGATGAACTTTTGATTTGTCCAGGAGATTTTTCAATCAATTTGCATAAATAGGTGGGAGTATCTTGATATTTCCTTCTAGTTATTTGAGACAATACTGCTCCTAGTAGTGCATAAATACTACATAATTGCCATCATTAGCCTTGCATGTGACAAGGAGGAGTTCATCAGTACTAGTAGTACTACTAGTACTATCTAGATTTCAAGCAGCCAATGGTTGCAGATGTTCTTGCTGCAATATTGCTGTGTGTAAAGAAAATCGAAATAACTTCAATCATTGTCAGGTGTGATGAATATTGTTTTCAGTACTACTAGTAGTAGTACTGCTACTTCAAATATACTACAAGAAAAGAAGCTGTGGCTCATCCTCGTCATGTTGTATTGTATGTTATGCATGCGAGGCAACATAGTAGCACTACTAGTAGTACTAGTGCCGGAACACTTCTTCTGTTGTGCAAAAAATAAGAACAACAGCAACAAGACCTCATAAAGAAATTCAATATAATCTTTATTCAGTACTCATACTAACAAGAATGACAATTGAGAAGTACAACCAATACTTCTATTAGTAGTACTGATATTACCAATACTTTTCTTCATACTATTACTATATTAATATACCAACTAGAATTTTTATCCAACTTGCACCGCTCTACAAACAATGTGCTGGTCTTGTTAGATCCAGACTTGGACTTGTCATCATAGTACTAGCATGGGTCAAGATCAGATACTTGCAATCATGATGCCCAGCACCAGCAGCATTTCAAATTATTTCATCAGCCCACCATTGGTTTTTGCACCAGTAGTGGTGGCTGGTGCTGAGGTGTTCTGGTGGGCTCCACAATGGAGTTTGATTGCTTTCTTGTTCCTCTCTGTCAAGTTTTTTACATGGTTTCAATCACTATCATCTTAGTATTTGATGGATTAAGAAGAGGTAGTAACAAGTGTCACCTCTCTCACCAATCACCAGTATTCTTTGGATTGCACTTGTTGTTGTTGACATTGTCCTCTTGTCTATCAGTACTCATATTAGTAGTAGGATTCTAGTACTATTAGTACTAGTACCACTAGTAGTAGTAAAACTACTAACAACACTGCTGCTGCTACTGCTGCTACTTGTACTGATACTAGTACCACTGCTAGTACTACTAGTAAGAAAAACAATGGTTGTTGATGATGCTCAGATGATGCAGCAAATAATGAAGGAGTAGCTTGTAAAACAGGAGCAGCACAGTGGATGACAAAAACAACAGAAGCCACCAGTACTAGATGAGTTGACCTACAACAAAAAAGAAACTGAAAAAGTAAGTTATCTTAGTAGCAACAAGCCTGCCATCCTTTCAAAAAGAGACATTAAAGTTTTGAATAATATGCATGACGTGGTGGAAGGGCAACTGATAAGTTTTGTAAAAAATACTGGTACAACAAGGTGAAGTTTCTTGTCAATAATAGAGTTCCTGCTCACATCATGAAGAAGTCAGTGGATATGGAGAGCGTCAATGTTCAAAAAGATATCACCCCAGCAGCTTTCTGTGAATTGTTTAAGAAGGTGGTCATGGTACTACTTGGCACATTTTGACATGATTCACAAAAACTGTCTTGGTAAGTTGCTTTTTGGTTTCCTTCTTGTACTATTATTTCCCCCACTAATGCAAGTAAGTTGTTATTTCCTATGATTTGTTAYCTGAACACAGCTGATTACGATAAGAACAGAGTACTACCAGCCTCCTTCCCAGGTATTGGTGGTTGAAAACCCAGATTGCAGTGGCTGGGGGAGCATAAATCCTTACTACACCAGGGAATACAAGGATGCCAAGGATACAGAGGTTAAAGAATTATATTATTTTATGACCAGAATCTTGTCTGCCATCAATCCATCAAAAAGTAACTTCAAGCAAAGGAAAGACAAAGATTTTCTCAGCAAGATCTTCTTATTCACTGATGAGGCATTTACTTTAATATTGATCTTGTTCAATGAACACCATGTTTGGGAGAACCAGAAGCAGAGGAAGATATATCCTGAGATCTGGTGTAGGAAGAAAAGGAATTTCAATGCTGAGAGTGGCAATAGGGATGGTTTGATAGTGGAAGGAAAGGACTTGTTCAATGAATTATGTGAGAAAGTAGAAAAGCTACACATGAATCCAACTACAGGGAAGGAGTTAGAGACAAAGATGAGAGAGAGTTTCATGGAGGAAGAGGAGGATGAGGCAGCACCAGCAGCTACAACAGCTACTAGTACTCCCCCCCCTAAACTTATTTAGGGTTGTATGTGAAGAGTTGGAAGAAGCTGATTGTGAGCAGCAAGAAGCTGAGGAGCTGGTGCTACAGCTAGCAGCAAGAGGATGCAGCAGCAGAGGACGCGGAGGACATGAATCAGGCTTCCTTAACTTTGTGGATTTTGTACATGAAAAAATGGAAGAAGTGATGTCCCCTCCACAGTGAGGATGAGCTTTCAAACATCATCCCTGATCATGTTTATATTCCTTGCATAACAGGCTTGGTATATAAAAAAGAGGATCCAGTTCCTGATGACAATTCTGTTCATGCTAGGTCTGATTTTATAGAGTACACAAAGAAAGCTATTTCATATTTTCTTCCAAACAAGAGTATTAAATGGACTGTTCTCCAAGGTGTGGGCCATGGAAATTGAACTCAATCTACTACTAAAGTGAATAATTTAATTCCTGCAATTAAACTAAAGAAAACGAGAGGGCATGGAAAGGGCAAGTTTTTGCAAGCACTTGATCTTTTGGAGCAACATCATGGTTGATCTTTTGGAGCAACATCATGGTTCTGTGATAAATAGGAGAAGATTGATAGCAATGATGGAAGCGGAAATGCACTTCATGGCTCATAATGATGATATGGGTGGATCATATAACAAAGGAATCTTTGAAGGAATGCTCAAGGTTCCCTGAATTTTTGACATTGAAGACAAAGCGGTCTAAGAATGAGAGGGAAGACAGAGATTGTCCAGATCAGATTTTGATGGGATCTATCAATCCAAAAGAATGTGCAGTGCTTGAATTAGCATTATTTTTTTGAGAAGTGGTGCCAGGATGGGAATGGAGCAGTTAGCCAATGGTTATTTACTGAAGGAACTATAAGTTCAAGATCACACATGAAATTTATGAAGAAGGGAAGTGCCTTTGGAAAATCCCAGTATTCTGGATTCGCCAGGGAGGTTGGGCACTTACTTCATTAGAATGCATGTGGTTTCACTTTGCAGACATGCCGGAATGTCCAAGGACAGTGATGTCAATTATAGAGCTAGATGGAAAGGAAACAGCATGGAGCAAGATTGCTACACCCATATGCAATTACTTCCAACCAATATTTCTGTTGCAAGTTGTTTGTTGTGTTATGATGGAGTTTGCCTACATAAGCCAGTAGAGGGATATGGAATAACAGATCAGTGGATTGTTGAAAATGTTACTCCTAGTAATATTGCAAGTGCATTAAGCAACAAGGGTGCTGTCATTCTAGGAAAGGCATTAGTACTGTGGGCATGCTTTGAGCCATCTCTGATTGGTGTTGTTCTAGATGATATCAGAACAAGGAATGTGGTGGCTTCATTTATTCAGCTCAGTAACAGGGTGCGTGCAAATGGTGGTGCTGGTATTACTGTTGTTGATGATGGTGCAAATCCTATTAGAAAAGTTGAGATGGTTGCAAGTGAAGCAATACTAGGTCAAATTGACTTTGATGAGCTGTTTGATCCTAAACTAGATAACAAAGAAGGCACAGTTGCTGGGACTGGTCCTTTTGGAAACACTTTGATGGGAATGAGGAGATCTCATCAATACTAGTGGATGAATGTGATGCATGCAAAGATGCACAATTTACAAGGAACAATATCCAGCAATATGAAGAACCTACAGGTAAAAGAATTTTCCTTAGTACAAAAGGACAGGAACAAGAGGCTTCAAGCTGCCTGCAATCAAGCCCCCATGGTGCCAGTTGCTAGGAGAAGATTGAGGCTATGTCTTGTTAATCCAGGAGCAGCTGGTGATGCTGGTGCTGCTGGTGTTGAGCAGGAGGAGCAACAAGCAATCCTGCAGAATAACAATCCTGCAAAATTGTTTGTTACTATTTGGAACAAATGGGAGTCTGGATTTGCTGGCAACATACCAGCAAAGAACTTCACAGCAGCTGAAAGAAACTCCAAGGAAAACAAATTTGTGTACTGCAGGAGTAAGCCCTTTTGGCAATGCATTGAAAGGGTGATAAAGACCAGAGCAGGTATTACTCATGATGTCATCCACACAGTTTACAGTCAGGAGAAGACTGTAACAAAGATCCTCAAGCCTCTTGCAAAGCATGAAAGGGAAGGCGGACACTCATTGTTGAGGTACCTCCTGGTTGATTGTTGCATGATTTTTGACTGAGTTCTTGTTCGGTCTCCTCTGCTAATTGACAATGATGTGTTGCTTCTCTGCTAATCGGCAATGATGCATTTCTTTGTTGCTTTGTTCTTGCTTTGAAAATGAGCAGTTGCTTGGATGCTTTGCTTTGCTTAGTTTGTTGCGTTGCTGACCCGTTGTGTTGCTTCAATGGTTGTTCTTGCTTTGCTTAGACACGTTTTTGCATTTAAGTGCTGCTTGCATTGGTTCGATGCGTTGCTTGCTTACGAGGAGTATCATTTTACTAATAGATTACGACCACCATATGATAATACGTAGTCGTAATTGTACTGGTATCAGTATTGCTGGTAGTCGGAGGATTATGTTACAGCACAAGATATTAATGCTTTAGTGAAGTGCAGCCTATCAATGGAAGTAGAAGTACCGGTTTTCGAGTAGGGTACCGTATGGTACTTTACATTGCCTAGACGATGACTGGCATAGACATGGTCATAACAAACACACGTTACCTGGCACTGTATTTCATTCGGCTTTCATTTTTAAAAAACGCTATGACCAGGGATTATGCCAATAGTAGAAAATACGYACATCTCCTACAGTACTTTTGAGGTTGAAGAAGAAGGAGTAAATTGCGATTGATAAGGTACGAATACCGCAACTTGGGAAAACAGTCGTAGGGACTTCGAATTTTGAATCATCCCACCAGAAGAAGCTTCTAATAGGCGTTTGCAAGGTTGCAGGACTTCGTTACATACGATTGCAGACATACCGAACCATCTTTGGGCCTTGCTAGGGCATCTGATTAGTGCTTAGGGCAATAATATTTATGTCGTGATATATCTTGATAATATTTGACAAAAGTAACAAACCTAATGTTGATAAGACCACGAAAAGTTTTTAGTCAAGCTTTTACGAAATGGGGAGCACTCGCACAATAGCGGTTGGTCATGCGAAATTTTTCAAAAATACCACTAAGTGTACCGGTATATTTACATACGTGGAGGTACTCAGATCCAAAAAAAAACAACCTCCAACAATCTTGTCCTCATCGAACCATACCGTAGTATGCTTACATTCTTCGACTGAGCCTATTCTTCCCATAAATTTGAAGTCATACCTTTGATTCGAACCGAAGCAAAGCGAACATAAGTTGAATCATATTCGACAACGATTGTACACCACACCTGTCCTACGAAATAAGCATCTCGAGCTGTATAATACAATTTCTCGTCCTGCAAAAACTAGAATAAGTATTACCATCACCATGAAAAACTGTTTCACGATTTGGCTGTCACTCACAGTGATAGCGATCACAGTTCCCGGCAGCGTTGCCATCAATTACAGTCGTTACCCCAACACGRCAAAAACRTATGCCGAGTCTCCGGCATCCCCCAGCTTACCACAGAGACGACGTACCCTGGACAAAATTGTCTCGCAGGAGCGACGATTTGTATTGTTCAATTCGCGCCACTTAAGTGGAGAATGCAGTAAGTTACACATATCTTTCGCAAGGTATGCAGGAGAATCGAAGTTATCTCGTGCAGTGTAAGTATGACATGTTTCCCCCCGTTGTTTCTCATGATTCTTTTTCTTTTGCTCCCATTCTGATTTCCGTCCGTTTTGGTAAYAGTTCCSATTTGTGAGACCATGAGACCTTCCATGGCCACCACATTGAGTCCTAGTGGTGACCCGACCTGGTCGCCCACTAATTTTCCTGACGAGATGCTTGGCCTTCCCGGAGGCTCTCGAACTAATCCTCCCTCGAAACGGCCTACCATTTCTCCCGTAGAAGAACCAACCGAGCTCCCAACGAAGCAACCTACAARCTCTCCTACCAAAGAAGCAACAAAGTCACCGACGAAGACACCAACGACGCAACCGACCAATCTCCCATCTTCAAAACCMATTGAGGGTGTACTTGATTGTCAAGCACTTGAGAACCTAGGGCATGGATTCAGTGAAGCCACSGGCAGCCCTCACTACAGCCGGCGTTGCTACCCCGAAATCAAGGGTGCTCACTTTGAGGCCATTCCTGGCAACGACGATTCCGTTGCCGTCTTTGCCGGTGGTGATTTCATAGGCAGACGAGCCGCTGAAGTAGAAGGAAACCTYGTGGTTCTTGGTGATCTCAAGGTAGAAACAAACGGGCCCGGAAATTTTGTTAGCGTCGGTGTCGGAACCCACGTGCTGCCCAACTCCGGTGGGGATTGCATTATTGTGGGCGGAGATATTTCCGCTGATCGAAGTATCCAGGTCTTCAATCAGGCGACATGGATGAAGTGCGACATAGTCTACAAGGGAGCAGCCACGAACCTAGAACATTGGAAGATTGGAAGGGGTTCCAAACGGCACGAGCCCAACTACGATATGAGCCGGTACGAGAAAATGAAGTACGTCTTTATGAAGAAAKCYCAGTACTGGAAGACCCTACCATCAACCGCAACTGTCAACTTCGAAGACTGGGGAAATCCCACTGGGGAGACGAATTTCATCTGCACGTCCAACAACGAGGTTCAGGTCTTTAACATTATGCCAAACCAGCATGATTTTTTGAGCCGCACCCACGATCTCAAGTTCGGAGATGATTGCGAGGGCAAGACCATCCTGATCAACGTCCACGGAGACGGAGCGATCCACGCAAATGCCGCTGCCATGTCCTTCAAGACCAGGATGGGGTACGGAGAGGGTGGCTTCCCTACCTGTATGACGTCGAGTATTATGTGGAACTTCCCCGATGCGGCTGCCGTCGACCTAGGCAACGGAAGGACCTCCGAGTGGCACGGATCCGTACTGRTTGGAAGCGGAGACCTAACACTCTCGACCAGCGGTCACTCCGGGCGTGCCATCGTCGTTGGGAACATCTACCACGATTCCGACKTAGGGTCTGAGTTCCACTCGTACCCCTTCGATCCTCCGATTCCCCTACCAGATCCAGATGACATCTGTGTCCTGCCCTCAAACTGGCGGTCCTACCCAGCAATTCCGCCCTACCCAACAACAGCACCCACTACAGCGCCCACACACGYCGGTTGCGTCCACATCCCCCAGAGTGATCTCCCTTCCGGCTCGTGGGAGACCGACGACGCCAACTGTTCCCAGTGTTCGCCGAGCAATCCTGGTGGCCCCGTTTCCTGGTGGCCATGCAACCTGAATCCACCCATTTGCCAGGGAGACTGCGTGCTCAGCTAGCTTACCGACGAGACAAAACCATGATTTTTGAAAAGAATAATTGTTTCTCTTGTCACTTGAAGAACTTCACGCTACCTCAATACGCTCTCGTACTTGATAATGAAAAATGTTGTTGGTTGACACCAACTGTCGCTGCATGTAATAACAAGCAAACAATGTAACGATGACGATCTCAACCTCCTCAATTTCATGAAATGTTGGTTTTCCATGCTAGAACATACAAACACGTACTSAAACTTAGGAGATTAATTATTACAGAATTAAACGTTCTTCTATTTCACTCTTGGTGTCTCGCTATCGTTAGAGGTGGTACGGGTACTCGACGAATGTTGACTCCCTGCTACGCTTTCTRGATTTTGTGTTGGCCCCGATCCCAAACAATATACTAAAACAAAGAACCGAGGCGGTGGCCTCTKGGAAACAAAAAAAAATCGACCGACCTGATTTAATGGTCGTAGTGTRTGAGAGTAAATGTTTTGTGTCGCTAAATTCCTACGATAACATTCATAAATGTTGTGAACATTGACGAATATTTGCTCTCTAGGTTTGCGGCACCGTGGAAGCAGGCAGTTCAYCCATCCATCCAGTAATCAGTAGACCAGAGTGGTTTGTTCCGACGAATTGTCGGTGTGAAACTTGACCCTCGGTGCGCGTGCATTTCCAACATTAGATGAGTTGATAAGATATAATTTGTAGACTTTCTGTTAGACGACTCTACGCAAAAAGCAATAGTTTTCATTCATAGTCGCGAGACAAGTTGTCACATCTTCAACTTTGAACCATAGCAACCAAATAAGGGCATATTCAGTCGAAATATTATTTTTTATTTTTTCACTACGCGGACCATTTCCGAGCCTTCCTTTTTGCTCACATTTTGATAAAAATTGGGATCCGCGGAACGAAATCGATATCCGAGCACTGCTAATAGATAGAATTGAAATCAAACTGATTCCAAGGTAGGATTTTCCAAGAAATAAGTTGCTTACTCGTACGACATAATGTTTTAGTTCGTAATACTATTTCACCATGATAGGTACACGTAATAGTTCGTGTTATTTTAAATATAAAAATGTATCATGAGTACTTGTACTAAAATTTTTCTTTTGGATCTTCGTCATCCTGGTTCTCCAATCTATCGTGCCAGACGGATATTCTATTCCATTAAGTTGCATTTTGTTTACACTTCGATCGATCTATCGTTAGTGTTGCACATATCGCAGGACACCGGACACGCTTTGCGGACCGATTTCTTTTGGCAGATTTTCGTACTTTTCCCGCGGGTCATCATTCGTTTGACGAACTCACAGTCTTTCCCAGGTTTGCCCCTAAATAAAAACCTGGGATCGTTTTCACAGGAATCATTTTCATTGTTGTCGTCGGCGATGTCGTTGTCGCTATCGTTACACTTGCCACACGCCACTGGACAAGATTCGGCGATACTATTGCCAAAAGGTCCTTTTGGGCGACAGAATTTCCTGCGTCTCTTTTTGATCCAGTCGCAATCCTTTCCGGGTTTTCCCGCTAAMAGGAAAKTGGGATCATCCTGGCAAGTCTCGTCCTCGTCATTTGGGTTTTCATTGTTATTGTCATCTGGGCTGTCATTATCATTGTCATTATCACTTTCATTGTCGATATCGTCTTCGTCCTCGTTGTCATCACAAAGACCGCAGGCCATTGGGCAGTGTTGGTGTACAATTGGGGCAAAAATTCCCCTCTTACAAAGTCGCTTTTTGCTCTTTTTGACCCAATTACAGTCTTTGCCAGGTTTATCTGCAAATAGAAAATTAGGATCGTCCTGGCAGATCTCGTCCTCATCCTCGTTCTCATCCTCGTTCTCATCTTCGTCTTGATCCTCATTTTCATTTTCATTTTCATCCTCGTCCTCATCCTCATCCTCATTTTCGTCCTCGTTTTCATCTACGTCTTGATCTTCCTCTTCCTCTTGATCTTGTTCCTCATTCTCATTTTCATCCTCGTCCTCATCTACGTCTTGATCTTCCTCATCTTCCTCTTGATCTTCCTCATCTTCATCTTCATCTTCATCCTCATCCTCATCCTCGTTTTCATTTTCATCCTCGTTTTCATTTTCATTCTCTTCCTCGTTTTCATTTTCATTTTCATCCTCGTCTTCATCTTGATTTTCATTTTCGTCCTCGTCCTCGTCCTCGTCCTCGTCCTCGTCCTCGTCCTCGTCCTCGTCCTCATCACCCACATTTTCATTTTCATCCTCGTTTTCATCTTGATCTTCATTTTGGTCCTCGTTTTCATTGTCATCTTCGTCTTCATTTTCAGTGCTACACTGGCTAGTGTCGAACGGAGGATCGAGGTCCCAGGTCTTAAGGATCGGTTCCGTTATACTACAGGAGCCACGCGGGAGGGCACCTACCACGATGTTGGTCTCCTCGTCGAGAATGTGCTGCCTCACGTCAACGTCGCAAGCTTGTTTGGCAGGTTCTGCAGATGGCGTCAGGAACTGCTCTGTGCAATCACATGGCGGATTGTACCCCTCTTCGTCGYCGGTGGGATCACAGCCCTCTAGGATTCGTCCGAGGCTGCCCCTACTCCATCCATTCATGAAGTCGACGTGGAAGACATTGCTATCGTTTGAAAGAGTGTACTTCTTTATGTCGCCGCGGTAATCGTTGATACGAACAAAGAGCTGAATCTGGGGGAGCCGTTTGGTAAACGGTTCGGGGCACGGGCCATTGACAGCTCCATTTGTGGTGTAAGTCATATGCCCSGTAGGATCTTCTATTCCGACGCCCTTGGACTCATCCCAGCAGGTCGGCATGGCAAATCCAATCCCAAGAAAGTCGCATTTCAACTCGGGAAACTCYAGAGTATTCATCGTGGTGGTGCACTCTTCTTCCTCGTGGTCCTCGCTAAGAAAATTGCAGCACTCGACCAGTAGACTGCCGCCAATATCTCCCTCACGATYGGCACCTTCTTGRTCACTAAAGGCAATCATACGAAAGTCYGGAGGGAAGGCTTGAGTCCTCGGAAGAACGCTGTTGTCCCAGCGGTAGTATGGGCTGGTATCCAGATTGCTCACACGGGTGTAGATTTTCTGCCCATCCTCACCTTGCGTCTCTTCGTAGATGCTGGGGTGCCAATATAGTGAYTGATTTTCAACCCACGGAGAYGAGCTGAAGTTCGGTGCTGTATTGCGAAGATCCTGGTTGGACGTGGTTGGATGGAAATTTTGTGGACCGTAGAACTTTGCAAGTCCGGTGTGTGAAGCAAGAAAGTATTTTTTGGGAAGATAAAGTTAGAGATAGGCATGTTTGTTTACATAGATAGCCTCGTATCAAACTCGTGAGCGATCATATTCCAAAGTGATTGATCCTATCTCAAAAAATTCACTCACTGTATGAATATGGTCCGAAGCGCAGGTGTCGCTAAGGATCGGGTCGCTCCGTGCATGGCCACTAGGATTGGGATAGAATAGGCACATCTTGACCATGGTGGATTCAACCTGCGCCCCAACAAATACTGATGCGTCGAGGCAGGAGATTGCTACTGCGAGTGTGGTGATAGAAAAGATTCTCATTGTTTGGTAGACCAGTTGGAATAGTTTCAAAATTCGCTGCTTTAATTTTTTATGTGAGTTCCTGGTTTTGCGTTCGTATTTTGAAAAATCAACACAACATGAAGCTCACAGAAACAATACCGCTACAAGTACCGTATGAAGTAATAATTCGTACTAAGTTTTACGTACGTACTTCAAKTTCCGAGATCGGAAGCATCGGTGTAAGGGGAAATCAAGTAATCTAGTACGGTTGGGCCTTCTCCCAAGAATTGAAACGCGCGCAAGACCAATACTTAAGCTGAGGAAGATTCAAGTCTTGTCGATTGGATMWTGGCGAACCCGTATGAAGAAGATCATAAGTATGTCAAGASATATTAAGACTTTTATGATAGCCTAGATATTTTTCGTASCAATACTCATAATTATTCCGACAAGACTGTGTCTCCTCCAGCAAGACAAAACAAGGAAAAATAATATTCCTTTTAGTCGTAGTTTCTAAGAATCAAAGCAAGAAAAAAACCGTGGTACCCACATACAGTAGTAACCTAATGAGACTAATTGAGTACTATGTATTGGTCTTTCTACTGTCTGCAACTGCGAATTTACTCTCACAGCCACCGTATCSGTGATGGATTTACATCAGTCTAGTTCTGCGCTTCAACAATTCAACTGTTCGACAAGMATGTAAGCACTCTTTTTTCTGTACGGCACGTATTCTTATTCTGAGTATTGGGAATTTTTTTATAAAGAGTGAGTGTATTCATTAGCTGCTAGTAGTGATCTCATCTCACAGCATCCACGCATTTTCAACTTAGGTGATCGAACATTCAATTCATAATCAAAGTTCCTAGCGTCCCAAACGACAAATTCGGATTGAAAATTTGGCATATATTCTCCATCGAATAGACAATAAAGTATTAAATGYATTATTCCACCACGCCCACAGATGTTACCGTACGCAAATGGCTTCCAATGGATTTGATAGAATTTCGGATAATCTTCCCATTCCCATTCTTCGCATTCTTAACATTTGATTTTGTTTTCTCGCTATTCTTGTATCCTGGAGGCATTTCAGGTACCATCGCATTCTTCAGGTGCTCTGCAGCATCCTTTCCATTGATCGTGCAAGCCTTTGAATCGAAAGTGTTCCAGTCAAACGAAAGTGCATTGAGTCTCCTTTCAATAACAGATGCRTCGTAACCAAACTTCTCCTCGAGGTATTTTGGCAGCWTCAACTGAATGATTTTCATACCAATGTTAAGGCCTGCAAGATTGTCCTGCTGGTAGTGAACACCAGCCACGGTGCGACCATAGGATACGGCAAAGTCAGTCCTCAATGCCTCACAGTACTGTTCCCCAGTAAGCTCAACAATAGCAGGCAACCAAGTACTAATGGTTGATCCAGCGGAGTGCATTGCGGGCCAGGAAGGATGGGTAGGGGATCCCTTGTTCTTTCCATCGGTGTAGGCAGTAAAATCCGTTGCCTTGTATCTGAAAGTATCATCGGTATCGGCGAGGTCCTTTTCCTTCATGTCTTCGATCTTCTTGATCTTGCGTGCGATCCTTTTGAAGTCTTTGTTGTTCTCGTCTTTCACCGCGTTCCTGGCAATCAAGTAGGCCATTTCCTCAGGTCGTGGCATGCCAACAGACCATTTTAGGCCAAAGTTGATGGGAGCAACGGCATGGAAGGCCCAGGTGTTGATTTCTGCCATTCGCACTTGCAAGCCAACAAAGTCTCTCTTACTGCGAAAGGGGGGGCTACCGGGACCGTGTGGTTTGATCCCTTGGCTAAATAAAGCACCGAGGAGTATCTGTTGGTGGAAGCCGGGATATTCCCCGCGTACTTCTGCAGAAATTCTTGTCAAATCCCATCCTTGCCATAGCTCGGGCCATGTTTGATAGTCAGATGGAGGCTTCCCTTCAAGGCGAGCAATTTGCATGTCGACGACKTGCTCCAGCTCGTCCCAGTATCCGTCGTCGCCAGGGTATACAAGTTTGTTGTTCTGAAGGGCATCGTCTTTGACGATGCCTAAAATGTCGTYATCGACCTCGAAGTCGTCATCAAGGGATACTGTGGAATCGGCCAAAGTTTCACGTGCAGCGATTAGTCGTGTCGCCTTCGAATCGGAAAGAGGGTAGTCCGAGGGCATGAGTGGGAAGATCTTCTTGTGTACCCCGTTTTCGTAATCCTTGCTGTCACCGACAAACTTTTTATCGAGGTCATCGGTAGGAGGCAGCTTGTTGAACCGAATCTCCTATATAACAACAACATCACGAACAAAGCAATACGCCAAGATGTTGTATTCGGTATTCAGTTGTTTTCGAATATGAGAAGAAATATGGGATGGCAACGGTTCAATGAGTGGAATGCAATGGTAAAAAATCATGTGATTTAAAAACGGTCATCTRATAGCCTGTCAATWTTGTTAAATCGTATTGCCACGGATTGCGTGAAACTCTATCGCGTTCCATGGCACTGTACTCACCGAAATACTTCGGTCCGGCACTCTCTCGGGTGCCTCACACGTTTGCGTTTCAACCATAGTAGAGCAGCCACCACAAGGCACCATTGTCATAATTGATGAATACTGAATGTGGTTGATTGTCGCTTTATTGGAGACGACATCGATTGTGTCTGTTTTGCTGGATCAATCCCAAATTCAACCATATGCACTTGTACCGTACTTCAACAGGAGGCATGTCAAAAAAAKATCGTGGGATTTATTRTGTCGTRCGATAGAGTAGTACAGCAGCAATCACTAAGCAATTGCCGATACAGCATCACTTTCTTCGTTGTTCTCTTCGATGTCTTTCTATTTTATCARTGGGTCACATGCCAAAATCTTTTTGTCTCTCACCATTTATGAGTTGATGGGGTCTATTTCGGAAGTCATCCACAATCAACAATTATTTTCGGTGAGACGATGAAAGAAGCAAAAGGAATGATATTTTCGGCCTTGGCTACTATTGAACATGCTTCCCAGCTTGACACAAGTGATATATAGTAACTGTGGCGTCGCACGGTCAAGAGTGTACCATAAATGTAAMCAGAATGTGTACTCTGTTGAGCTCCGTGTAATTATCGTGTGAAGAGTTTTTGTACTGAGCGCTAAAACTTTTCCCACACAAACAGCGTACATTTTCTGGTACGATTTCGGTACACGCGCTGAGCGAGCGAACTCCTCCACAGTTATATCACATACTTGTGGTACCGTACACGGATTACATTGGTCAACCCTTGTTTGGGGGTGCATTCAAATTGAATTAGGCGGAAAAGGTTTTTCCTTGAATTTTCCTCTTACTGTATTTTGTTCTATTCTTATTGATTTAGTATTTTCTCAAATCACATCAACATCCTTTCTTTTCTATCCGCGCACTGACTCTATGACGTTCTCTAATAACACAAACGAAAATCCTAGTAATTCTTATTCACATGCGACACTCGCAATGAAGTCTCTACCAAGACTTACAATTCAATCGTGACCCCCATCCCATCAGGATTTACGTTTGGTGTGTATCCGTTTACTTTCGCTATGCGTTCTGCAGCCGACTCGTTGCCAATTTTACAGTTCTTTGCATCAAATGTGTTCCAGTCAAACCAGAGTTTGTTGAGTCGATCTTCAACGATCGTTTTGTCGAARCCAAAGTTTTCCGCCAGAAATTCAGGTAGTTTCATATGAATAATTTTCATGCCTATATTCAGGCCTGCCAAGTTATCTTGGGGATAGTGGACACCAGCCACAGTGCGACCGTAGGAGACAGCAAAGTCRGTTCTCAATGCCTGACAGTATTGCTCCCCGGTGAGTTCAACAATGGCTGGCAACCAGAAACTAAGGGTTGATGCAGCGGAGTGCATTGCCGGCCAGGAGGGATGAATCGGACATCCGTTCTCGTAGGCAGTAAATTCGGCGGCATTACTTCCCGGCAAAAGGCCTAGCTCTYTGATTTTTGAAACAACGCCTGCGGGGACACCGTCTTTCTCGGTTGTGAGTTCACCCTTGGCAATCAACATTGCCACTTCCTCGGGCCGCGGCATTCCCTCGTACCATTTCAAAGCAAAATTTATAGGACCGACCACCCTGAAAGACCACGTGTTGATGTCTGCTATGCGTCCTTGYAAACCATTGAAGTCTTTGTTGCTACGGTAGGGGTTTCCGCAACAGTTTGGAGATATCCCTTCGCGAAAGAGTTTGTCGACAAGGGCCGCCTGAAGGGAACARGGGTATTCCCCATGGACTGCTTCGGCGATTTGATTCAAACTTAATTCTTGCCATAGCTCYGGCCACGTAACATCCGCCAAGGCCGACGCATCCACGTTATTCGTGCGGGTTATTTGCATATCGACAACATGCTCAAACTCTTGCCAGAATGGTTCACCGTCTTCGGGAAAGGCGCGTTTATTTTCCCGMAGGGCGTATTTTTTTACCTCATCCCAAATACCGCTTTTTTTWATTTCAAAGTCATTGTCAGGGTCTATGGGAGAATCGGCAAAAGAAAAATTTAGAACGCAATCAAGGTCGTTTTCGTTYAAATTCTCAAATAAGGGGAATAAGACCGGTGGGATGTCCTTTTGAAACCGGGTCAACTCGATCGATCGGCTTTCCTGCACAGTCCAACATAAATATAATCGCATAAAAAACACAACGTGAGAGTTTTTGCTTGATTTTCACAGGTTATCATTATGAACATGACAAAGGGGCGGTTTGACTCAATTGGATTCGCTGTGTTGGTGTGCTAGCGTCATCTCGCACGACCACAAAATAGACGTCTCTCTCACCTCCATCTGAGATTGAGCACTTCGGGTATAGACCGAGGCGACGACGAAATTGAARATAATAGAATGGCTGAGACGAATCATTTTGTTCTGTAAYAAGTTTATGTCGTTTTTTATTGCTGGAAACTACGAAGTATTTTTATGTCCGTCACTGAGCAATCGAAGATCTTAAAGGATCGAGAGAGGGAAGTGTTTTTGGTGTTTTGCACCATCAAGCAAAATATATATGGGTTGATAGCGCGATTGAATAATRAGGCCATTATGATTTGTACAGATGAATTCGTAACGTCAGAGGGATCTCAAAATGGCCCTTCGAAACACGCGCGCGTCGGAAAAACATCCGACGTTTCCCAAACGTCATTTTCGGTCATAATGGGTGATTCGCATTAATAGTATGCTAMATTTGATAGACAGCAGACCAAAAACTATGAGATGTTGTCATAGATTTAGCATTTTTAGAATKGGTCAACCGACCCCATTCTAAGTGTGCTAGATCTATGATGGAACTCAAGAATCAAAATTTTGAGTCTGTTGTACTAAGATTCAACAGAAAGCCCTRGTACATGGGGTACCTACCCACCAGACCTCTTTTTAGTCATTCTTACAGTAGTACAACAAACTAGTATTTAAGATTCTTCCAGATTCTCAAAAAGACTGGTGAGACGAAGCCTGCCTTCCTTGTCATCTGCCCCTTGAAATTTTGATTCCTGATAATAAATTGCTAAAAATGCTAATTTTGAATTCTATAATAATGGGAATCACCCAATGTGCCATTCATGTTGATAGAATTGCTACTATTGATAGACAGACAGACAAAAAATTTAGCAATTCTATTACAAGTTTCTTTATTACTTTTGGAACTGCTAAAATTWGAAAGTGCAATAATCCATGATGGCATTCAAGATTAAAAATTTGAGTCCATTGAAAGACTCAACAACAGCAGAAAGCAACCCCCAAATTTAAGACTCAACATCCAAAGAAACAAGAACAAAGAGAGGCTGACCTCCTCCTCCTCTGTCAAGCACCATTTTTAGTAACAAGAATGGTGCATGGTCACACTAACTGATTTTATGGTGTGAAGTTTTTCCTGTGTCCATAAATTTGAATTCATTCATATGTTTTGCTGGCTCTTATCTGTGGAACATGATGTTCTCAAACCACACATTTCTCAGGAAGAGTTTGATCCCTCTTCTTGTTGTGGGAGTGACTACTACTAGTATCTAATACTAGTGATGTAAATTGAGTGGTGTGGGCAATTGAATTTGGTAGATTCATGTGAGGAGAGAGCCAACCTGCAAAAGCTCACCATGGTAGTGCTAAATTTTTATTGGAAGGGTGTCACAACCTGTGGGAGTGACTATCTAAAAGTGATGGTGGTGTAAATCAAGTGCTAGAAGAAGAAAAGTGAGTTGATGCACTTATCAAGGATCGTTGTACTATGAAATCTAAGATCAATCAGAATGAAGATCATGTGATGTTTGAATCAAATGAGTCAAGTAAGTCACACAAGTGAATCAAACAAGTCAAGTCAATTGTGTGGATCTATATGATTGAATGAGTCATCAATGTAGAGTGCGTATGAATCATAGATATGTGTCATATGTATGTGTCATAGAAATGAATCATACCCACAWTCTGATATCCTACGGACAGCACTTGTGGCTGTAGTCAATTTCTTTCATCAGTTTTTTCTTCTCTCGTTGACAAATTATTCTAATCATTTGACAAGTACTATCTCGTCATATTGTCATGAAACGTTTAATGTGGTTACCTTTACTCCTGTACTCAATCCAAATTCTTCTCCTCTGTCACCGATAGTACTCTGTTGCAGTGTAACAAATTTTCTACTGCTTTTATCAATTCTGTTCCAATGATGAACAATTCTATCTAATTTCAGAAGAAAATTTCAAAGCAGGAATTCTTCTATGGTTATCACTCTTTTGGCTTGAGTGGTAATGTATCATTCATTTATACTTTACTACTACTGTAGTAGTTTGGTATTTATACAGGTATCTTCTACCTCAGTTGATTTAAGATATCCTTGTCCTCTCAATAGTGGTCTTTTTGATCAAAATCATTTTCCATTTTCTTTTTCTATTATTTCTCTCCTCCTTATCCTCTTGCATGTCTTTTCTGTTCTCCTCCCTCAGTGCTTGTTCAATCACATCTGAATTATATTTGGCACTAGTATGCTTCTTCACTTCAACCATGACTAGTAACCCTATGTGATGTTTCCTACAAACAACCCTTGTATGAGGGTAGTGCTGACTACTAAGGCTGGCCTTCACTGGGAAGAGATGCAGCAGGCTCTTTTGGATGCCATGGAGGTTGCTTTGGAGAATCAAGATGATAAGCTGACAGGTCATAATATCATTCATGGAACTTACAACTTGTGTTTTCATTGCCAGCAACATAKTGATAACTTGTCTATATGTCAAACAAGCAACTGGCAATGAAGCCAGCAATATTCCAAGGACCATTCACCCAACAGTCAATAATTTATCTTTCTTTGCAATAACATCACAATCAATGGGACTGCTTTTGGAGTCATCCCATAGAATCAGTTTCAAAAGCATTTGGCACATTACAACTTCTTTGGAAACAGATGGACAAACAATTTTGACTTGTTGCTGTTGTCAGGTAACCATCAGATGGCGCCAAAGCCGGAAACTGTTATTCAACTTCTATGTTTGTAACAGCCAGAACCATTATCAAATACTTGCAATTTGTTAGTTACAGATGTTTGTCACCGGCAMTTCTATTATATACTAGTATGGTACCCCCCTTTGCCTGATCCTTATGGAAAGTTCAATTGAAGCTTAACGATAACTGATTAAAATGACAAAGTGGAGGTCTGCATCAAAAAAATGGAGGCAATCTTGGGTTTTATTATGAGAGACATCGCTCTTTTACACTTGGTCAACACAGCATCAACGGTTCCTAACACACACAAGCTTATGAATAATAATTGCTGCCACACGCTCTACTAACCTTAACATTGCTTTCCACCAAAGTTAAATTACCTCCAATGAGATCAAATGTATGTGCACATCCAAATTCCAGGTCTTGAAGACCTGTAATTCCATTGCTGGGTGGTTGCGCACGATGTGGCCAGATTTTCATTTGTCAATGAACAGTATTGCATTTCTGTTCTTTCATGTACGGACTGCTGCCATCCCGCTGTCACCACACATGACTTTTTCCTCCCAAGAGTTTCTCCTCTTGATTCATGACAGTTGTTTTGTCATTGTCTTGTTGTCAGTGAACCAGCACCCCATCTCAGGCAACAACATGATTTGTACTGTTGGATCTGACAAGGCCACAGAGGATGTGATTCTTCTTCCGTAAAATCACTCTATTCTCTTTGTCATGCTCCTTGCTAACAATTGTGAGTTACTCATGTGCTACTACACAATTAACGTCAAACACAATGGAAACAGCAACGCATTGATTGCCTGTCCTCATTCCACTGTGTCATTTGCCTTGGGAACATTGTAGTAAAGTTGCACACAAATTGATTCCAGCAAGAAGAATGAATTTACTATCAGTATGGCAATAATAGTACTACTACTACTAGTAGTAAAAACATTTGCAGGTTTGGGCTCATAAGGTTTTTGGAACTGCTGTGTATTGGGTCTTTGTAAATGTTGACAGTTTTCTCCACTCTACCACCATAATAATACTTTTCCTTCTTTTAAACCACTCAGTGGTGGATCAATTATATCCTCACAGCATCTTTCTCCTGTTAATACTAATGAATACTACAACTAGTACTAGTAGATCTTGCAGGTTGCATTTAATGTAGTAGTGACAGAGGTGAGACTGGATACGCTGATTATGGCTGCTGATAATGTTGGAATGACTTTTTGTTGTCTCAGCAATGAGAGGGGTGGCCACCAGTAGCAAGCAGCCAGCACCAGCACCACCAACAAGCCCAAGAAAAAGGATCTTCTATGCAATCGGCATAGTACACTGCAATTCTCATTGTTGGTACTTTGTTGGTAAAAAGAAAGCATGCAAGGATGTTGCTAAAAGTTTTTCAAAATGGCTCACAATATGATTATGACTCATGGTACTCTGCTGTCAAAATCCATCCTAGTACTATCCTTGTCCACATGTACAGGCTAGTGCGTATTGTATGTGCCGGTACCATGGACTACTACAGGCATCACATAGATACGAATCAGAGTTCTACTCATAAAATGTTGATAGGCTCTCTAGTSTACAATAATAAGTTGTTGACAATAAAGAGTGAGGATTATTCACTAGCTACTCGTGATTGCCGTATAGTGACTGCCTCACATACTCTACCGTAMATACGTACGTAGGGTGCCGGTGAAGACCACTTGAATCACGTGAAATGGGGGGACTGCAAAGTTTCTTAGTGTCACATAAAGGGATGTTTACATTAAAGAGTGAGCGTGGTGATTATTCACTCACTATCTACTCGTGATCTACGTGATTTACGTGTTAATGGCTCACAGGGACTGACCAATCACAGTGTTTTCTTTTGAACCCATATTAGTTTTTCGTCGAGGCGATACAAACAATTCCGAAAGGCCTGTCGTGGTGGTTTCATCAATTGCCCTCCYTTTTTCACAAATTGAAGATACCCGTGATATTCAACCAAAGGGTGTAATTAAAGTGTGAATAAGGCTGATAAGTGTGATTACAAGGCCTTCAGGCCTTGTTGGCACGCCTCTATCAAGCACAGAATTTTCGAATTGGTCAACCATTCTCCTCCCCCTCCAGCAGGTTCACTTTCGTGGTGTAATTGTCGAATCAGCTACCACGCACAAACTAGTAGGAACATCAAGCGAGCGTGGGCCATTGCTACAGAATCATACTCGTGCTCGTGGGAATAGTATTGATGATACGGAGGCTTTATGAAGATCCGTGGACTGAAGTACCACCCTTCAGATGTCGTGGAACCACTGACGTCTCCTCTTGAAGGGAGTTCGATGACGCACTTGGTAATTTCTGCGATCGAACGCAACATAAGATCTCAAATGACTTGTGASTAGCTCTCAAAAATGTTCAATGTCGTTTGAAATGCAAACAAATTTTTGCAAGGTAGTATACATAAATTTTGTTTCTCAACAACTCTATAATGAAGATCTCTGCTGTTTTATCGTTTGCTGCCGTTGCCGGTCTCTTCCAGGCCTCCGATGCCAAAGAAGCTGTCACAGGCCGTACGCTTTCGGCCATTCAGGCCGAAAGTGGTAGCTCTCTCATTAGAGGAAGCGCCGTTTCTACTTCTACTCTAGCGAACAACGGCAAGACCCAAGATGCTCGTGTCCTCCARACCAAGCCCACAGAAGACGAGGTCCGATCCTGGTTCGGTCTCTGGGACGAGGCACTCGCGACGCTGAACTCTACCACCGTCGCCAACATGTATGGCAAGGGCGCTACCCTCCTTCCCACCCTCAAGGACGATGTCCGCACCGACTTTGCTGGTATAAAGGACTACTTCGACTTGTTCCTCCAGAACGAGCCCCGAGGAAGAATCGTGGAAGGTTACGTCGAGRTCGGAGACGACTGGGCCACCGACATCGGAATCTACGAGTTCACCTTTGGCACCACCGGTGACGTGGTCCAGGGACGCTATTCGTACTTCTACGAACCCCAGGAAGACGGAACCTGGATGATCCTTCACCACCACTCGTCCATGCTGCCGGAACCAACCCTGCCACAGCCCATTACGGAGGAAGAAGTCCAGGCACTCTTTGGTCTCTGGAACGATGCCCTCAAGAYCAAGGACCCTTCGCAGGTCGCGGCTCGTTACGCCAAGGCCGGGGTCCTGCTCCCCACCCAGTCCGACGACACCAGGACCGATGCCGCCGGAATCGAGGACTACTTTGTCAAGTTCCTGGCCAACGAGCCCACCGGAGAGATTCTCGAGTCCCACGTCGCCATTGGACACGACTGGGCCCAGGACGTTGGTAGGTCCACCGTTTGGTTGCCCTTGTTTGCGTCGAGGCCCTATCAATGTCTTCTCACAACATCGAATCTTGCTTGTTTTCTATCTCGATCGAAGGCGTCTACGAGTTCACGTTTGGTACCACCGGCGAAAAAGTCCGTGGACGWTACTCCTTTATTTACATYTACGAAGACGGGGAATGGAAGATCTCCCACCACCACTCCTCTGTCATGCCCGAGTCCATCGAGGGTCTWTCGCAGTCCATTACCGAGGAAGAAGTTCGCGGGCTGTTTGACGTCTGGAACGAAGCTCTCCAGACCCTCGAACCCGAGAAGGTCGCCGCGCTCTACTCCGAGAAGGGAAACCTTCTTCCCACCCTCTCCGACAAGCAGCGCCTGAACCGCGAGGAGATTGCCGACTACTTTGTCAAGTTCCTTGCCCTAAAGCCCACCGGAAAAATCATATCCGGCGACGTCCTGGTCGGGCACAACTGGGCCCAGGACGCCGGCATCTACGAATTCACCATGGGAGACGGCTCCGTCGCCCGCGGACGGTACACCTTTGTGTACATCTTTGAGAACGGCAAGTGGATGATCGCACAGCACCACTCCTCCCTCATGCCCGAGTCCAGCAACAACGCCAAGCCGACCGATGGTGTCACCGAGGACGACGTCCGCAACTTGTTCTGGCTGTGGAACGACGCCCTCCTCACGAAGGATCCCGACACCGTCGCCAACCGCTACACCAGCGACGCCGTCCTTTTGCCCACCGTCTCGGAYGTCCCCCGCGACACCCACGAGCTCATCGAGGATTACTTTGTCAAGTTCCTCCAGGGAGAACCCAGCGGAGAAATCATCGAGAGCTTTGTCCACATCGGACACGACTGGGTCTCCGACGTTGGGATCTACGAGTTCACCATGGCCACCGACGGATCCAAGGTCCGCGGACGCTATTCCTTTGTCTACGCCATGGAAGACGGCGAGTGGAAGATCGCCCACCACCACTCSTCKATGATGCCCGAGCCCATGCTCGCGGCCGCCGAGCCGCTCGAGGCACCCGGTGTCCAGATCTCCAAGATGGCCGATGTGTCCTCCGGCGCCTCGGCAATTGCCATCGGAAACGGGGTCGCGGCCTTCGCGGCCGTCGCCGTTGCCATTGCTCTCTAAACAGGAGGGCCGTCGGTCGCGAAACGGAGGACGAGATGGGTTGCTGTTGTCGTTGCTTGGAGCAAACAGCGACCTCGGAGCCCGCAGTTGAAGGATGATTTGTTCCGGAACAGAATCTCGATTTTTGGGCTGCGGGTGACTTTTCGAAGGTACTGGTAATTGTAACAAGTGATCTACAGTAATACTAGTAGTAAAAGTACCAGATCCAATTTCTACAGAATTAAATATCTATTGTATGTAAAGCTCGTAGGTACATGTAGCACAGAAATACTCAGTCAGACGTCATATCCCATGCCATGTGCCATTCGTACCACAAAACGTAAGACTAATACGACTGCCGGCCGGCACATGCGAAAGATATGTATGTTTCTTGAGTAGGGGAAAAAGCTCGTTCTGTACTGTACAGTATCGTATGCTACGGCATGGGTCAGACCTACCTACCGTTTGGCACACAACTACGGCAAAACGTACGGTACCGTTGATCACTTATCTTCGTACAGGATTCCTTCATCGTGATTTTGGACATGCAGTGCACACATCCCTCCACTATTAGGGAGCGAAGAACGCAACATCAATCAAGCTCAAACCAACGCTCTATCGCAAAGTCTCTAAAAGACAACCGCAACCAAACACAAAATGACGGAAGAATCCTCCTCCTCCTCGTCGCCGTCCACGACTGCAGCGACACCAACACCGGCAGGAGCAACTCCTGCGACGACGTGGGAGTTGCCCGCTGGAATCGAGGACGACATCGAACAAGGTGCGTGCGTTTTTTCGAGTCCACCAGAACGAGCTGTTTGGATTGTTCATAGTCCTTTGTGTACCGCGTTTCAATGCACAAAGCGAGAGGAGAAAGCGGCACGGCACGACAGGAGGAACGAGATTGCTTTTCGCACCGTTCTTATCGCTTCGTACACCACAGGAATGGATTTATTCATTCCTACTTGGACGAAACCAACGAACCAACCCGCTTACACAACACCGCATTCTTTTATTTCTTCTCTCTTTGGTCACTTTGTGGCATTCTGAAACCAAACGTTCTGCTTGTTGCAATCACGGAACAAATATGGCCGGTATGCTTGCTGTACACTACAACCGTATTCCGGTTTGTTTCGTTCGCGTGTGGACTTTCCATTTGCAATTTTTGTGCGGACAACCAATCCACGAAACAAAACATGCATTCCAAAAAACACGCCGATCGCATCCTCGGTGCCGTCTTCGTTCCGTCGCGCACCGCGACGCTTCCACGTCCGATCGACCAAAATGCCACCACGAATGACACCACGCGCTGTTTGTTRTGTTAGCCCTCATCAAGACGGCGGCCGGTGCCCTGGCCGGTGGCCTGCTGGGTCTGGTGTTCCTGAGGAGCGGAAAGGGCCGCAGGTCCGCGGCGATAGCGACCGGGATCGGGRCCGGCCTCGGATCGACCTACGAGCGGGTCAAGTTTCGGTACGCCGACGCCACCGCCCARAAGGARTAAACAAACAACCGCCGAGTCGAGCCAGCAAACAGCAGGAACCCCTTGGTCCCGCCCGCGAAGCCGACAGGGAGAAACGGAGGAATGCCAAACGAAACCGCCCGGCGCAACACCGAATGCTCGGGCAATGAAACGGGAACGAAGAAAGCGCTTGGCACGCCAGCGCTTGACTCGATAGAACGTAATGCAATATAACACAGTGCAACTCAATGCAGCTTTGCTACATAGCACAGCACAGCACATCATAGCAAAACAACAAAACCACAGAATGAGCACCAATCGATGTATCCATGAACTGTTTTAGTTTTTAGTACCGTTTGACTGCTTCGGTGTTGAACAAAACAGATTCATGAATCAGGACATGGCTACTATCCCMTCGTYGTAGAATTGGCTCTAGACCATAAAAGTTTTCAAAATACCTGTACCCCTGTCCATGGTCTTTCCACGAAASAACGACAGGCCAAAAAGCGAAAGCACGCTCACTACCTCTTTCTTTTAGAGGAGTCGTTGGCAGCTCAYGAACCTGAGATTCTGTTGTTGTCTGGCCAGGCCTTTTCACATTCGTGCTTGTTACAAATAACTCAAGCACCGAATGCCCCGAAAAGGAAACAAAGACGAACAATATAGAGCACAACGCTTAMTGCAATCTGACGAAACCCACAGGCTTGGTTGAGCACATCAATCGGCTTGTATATCTGTAATGTACCTGCACTCAACAAAKTCAATCCCAATCAGTCTTTTGTTTGACAAAGAAAACTTTGTGCCCTTGTCCACCAGATGATATGAAGCAAACGTCAATAAAACTTGCTGCAGTGTCAACAACTGACAGAGGTCGTACAAGCAACTCAAAAKAATTACGAGCTATAAAGTACTATAAGTACTAATCAATCAGTCCAACAAAATTCCTCAATTCAAGCACTATTAGTAGTTCTAGTAGTAGTACAACTAGAGTAATACTAGTTGAATTGTCTTTACTGCAAGTATGCAGTACTTCTTGCTCTTCCCTACAAAGAAGACCATTTTTTACAACATTAGACAGAGACGAGGAAAATTTTYATATCTTCTAGTAAGATGTCTAATWGATTTAGTGGCAATAKAGTGAGTTGCGCAGAAGTTTGGTCGCTATCTTTTRTCTCCTCTGCCACYACTGMTAGGCCTATGATACAAGGACGTACAAGGATCTTCACTTCGAACCGTGCAGTACCAGTACAAGTCATAATTTGGAACGTACGTACTCCTTGTACCAATTATTCTATTGCGGTATGGCATCGATGTTTCTGTGAGGTTATTCTTTTGGTCATTCGTCATTCTAAAACAGTAAAGAGGCATATCACATAAATCATTTCGCTCTGGGGGTCACTGACGGAAGGATTTATAAAAATTACATCGACCTGAATGGAATCGCTCCTACGCTATTGTATATGCCACAGAATAAATGCGTGTGTCAGGTGCACCCGACGAAAAGTTTTTATCTGATGGATGCCAAATTTTGATTCATATTTTATCGTAATATTTTACGGTAGTACGTTAGGTGGTACATATAGATGACGTTGTAGTAATATTGAACATCTCGCGTCTTCCTCCCTGCATCCGTCTAACGCTTCACAATTCGAAAGAATGTCAATTCAGCTTCTATCCCATACCATGTCTCTCTCTAGCCGCCGTGCCTTCGTTTTCGCCACTACCAGTTGCTATCGCTTTTCGCTATCCCGCGCTCTCCAACKCTGCGATGCAAATGTTGGAACAACTCGCTTTCTATCGTCGAATTCTGATCCGTTCCGATTTCAAAAGATTGGGATCGAGCTTGAGCCACTCAAATATCCCTTGTATTCGGAGAATCCACCGCAGTTACGGAACGCTGTTCGCGAAAGAAGCCTTGCGGATTCCCCTATAGATATCCAAAACGACTTCGAAACCAACAAAAATGAAACTGAACGTGAGATTTCGTTTCTTATAGAAGAACTTGCCCGGGACCGAAACGAATGGAGACGTGTCTTCCCCGAGAATAAACCWTTCTGGAAGGGCCAGTTCAAGAAGGTTGTAGACCTACAGCTCCTTCGCAGGGATGAGCGGTTGAATCGAAAAAAGGTCAGAAGAATTAAGGCCATGATGCCCGATATATGGAAAAGATGGAAAAAWTTTAATCTGACGACGATCGCTGAGGCGGTCAATTCGGAATATCCCGCCTTGCACCAGGGAAAYCTACTCGACGARTTCTTTGCCAGCGGCAGCTTGCGCCCGTACCCAAACGAACCCAACTTTCGTAGCTTGAACGACTTTGTCGGTCTGCAGGCACGGCTGGCATGCATCAATACCTGGGCCTTCCATGCGGTTGCCCCCGTCAATTTTGGCCTYAAATGGATCTATGGCATGCCACGGCCCGAGGAAGTAGCTTTTGCGATTACCGAGGATAAGCTAACTACTGATGATGGAATCCCACGAGAYGTCGTGGAAATGGTCAAGGAAATGAACCTCGGGTCTGCCCCAGAGTTTACTGCCTACGAGAAAGGATGCCCCTTCCATCCCTCCTGGCCTGCCATGCACTCAGCCGGATCCACTCTCAGCACATGGTTGCCGGCGGTGGTTGATCTCAAACCGGAACAATACGAACAGGCGCTCAGAACCGACTATGCGGTATCGTATGGGCGCTCTGTGGCTGGCGTTCACTACAACCAGGACAATCTTGCGGGCCTGAACATTGGCATGAAAATCATGCAGTTGAAGCTGCCACAGTATTTGGCCAAGGAATTTGGCTACAACGAGAACACCATTCGTGAGAGACTCGATGCACTCGCGTTTGACTGGAACGACTATAACCCGAGGCAGTGCAAAATTGGTGATTTGACGGCAGGGGAGCACCTGGCAAAGATTGCTCGAACAGGAGAATTGTCATTCGATCCAGAKGTGCGTGCGGGCCGTGCGAGCTGGTAAAGACACGCCGATGAAGGTGAGGGCAGGATTTATGAGTTTATTTGGTTTATATGCATGTGTGTTATGAATGAAAACATGGGGATCCGCAATAGCAGGGGCAACAGAAGACATTGAAGAGATCATTTATGTCCCAGCTCAGAAGCTCCCAGTGTAGAAGACGAGGTAGGAGGAGATCTTCYATCTCAGCAAAGATCAAAAACCGACAACGACAAACAGAGTTCTGGTGTTTCTCTCGCGGTCGTGTTAATGACTTACAGACAGGAGATGCAAACCTATGGGAATCCATGATGCTCCGATTCGGCTCCCCGTGCTGCCCGAACGCCCGAATCTTCCAGAATCGATTTTTTCAGTGGCTTCCTCGAAGCCAATTGACGCAAACACATTCTTGGAACACTTATTGGAGAAACGAGCTATGTTTGTTTTCCTAGATTCTAGTATTGCATAGTTACGAAATTGTTACATAGTACTACTGTCAGCAGTGGACTTCCTAAAAAAAGACTGTTTATATTATCTAATTCGTGCGGGCAGTGGGAAGGGTGCCACCGGCGGTGCAAACCGAACCATCCGAACAAAAACTGAATCGATTCGATATGAATCGAACCGCGTCCGCCGCTCTACTTTTGTGCCGCYGCGGCCTCGGCGGCCATCTTTTTCCGCAGGTGGGGGGGGATGTACCGCTTCTTGGCCGGGGCGGCAGCGGTTGCACCGCCACCGGTCGCGGTGCTTCCGCTGCCGGTGGACGCCACCGTGGCCACGGTGGAGGCATCGTCGGCCTTCTTGGCGGCCGGTGGTGCCTTGGTGGCGAGGGAATCCGGGACCGCCGASGCCACGGTGGGTGCCGGTGCCGCTGGCGGTTCTTCCCGGATGGTGGTGACCCCGGCGGGTTTCGTCGCCGCYGCCGGCGAAAGGACCTCCAGCTTGGGGGGTTTCKYCGGAGGTGGTTTYGGCTTGGGTTTCTCGGCCTTGGCCTTGACGCTGGCGTCTCCCTGGAGCTTTCCTCCCTTGGAGGCCRCCGCCTGCTCTCCCTCGATGCCCATCTGGTGGCGCATGTCCATCTTGAAGTTCATAATGTCTCCGCGGTACTTGGTGATGGTGCGGTTGTCGCAGATCCAGATCTCCTCCGCCACCTGGCTGATCAGCCGCATGTCGTGGCTGACCAGAACCAGGCCTCCGTCGAACTCGTTGACGGCCTTGGCCAGGGCGTCGATGCTCTCCATRTCCAGGTGGTTCGTCGGCTCGTCCAAAAGGAGGATGTGGGGGACRTCCCGCCCGAGCTTGGCGAGGACCACGCGTGATTTCTGTCCGTCCGATAGCTCCGCCATCTTGCGGACCTGCATCTGGCCGCTGACGCCGAACCGGCCCAGGTACTTGCGCTGCTCGTCGCGGGGATCGTTGGGGTAGAGGGTCTCAAAGAACTCGAGGGGGGTCTTCTCCAGGTCCAGAACGTCGACAAAGTGCTGGGTGAACCGGCCGAGCTTGAGGTGGCCGTGGGGCCGGATGTCCCCGAGGGTCGGGTTGAGCTCCCCCGCCATGAGCTTGACGAGGGTGGTCTTTCCGGCCCCATTCGGGCCGACCAGGGCAACGCGGGAGTCCAAGTCGACCCCAAAGTTGACGTTCTTGTAGAGGGGGTCGCACCCCGGGTAGCCAAAGGAGACGTCGTGGAAGGCCAGGACKGGCGGGGGGAGGTGTCCCGGATCGGTGAACTTGAAGTTGAGGATYTTTTCCTCCTCCGGCTTGGGGGTGAGGCCGGCCCGGATCATTTTCTGGAGGACCTTYTCCTTGGACTGCGCCTGCTTGGCGTTCTTGGCCGTACCGTGTCCGAAGCGGGCGATGTACTCCTTCATCTGCTTGATCGAGTCCTGYTCCCACTTGTACTGCTTCCACTGGTTTTCCTCCTTCTCGGACTTGGTCTTGACGAACTGGTCGTAGTTTCCGTCGTAGTAGACGAGGGACTTGGAGTTGGTAAAGTGGATCATGTGGGAGCACACGTTGTTGAGAAAGTCCTGCGAGTGGCTGACCAGCAGGAGGATTCGGTCCCACTTGGAGAGGTAGTTTTCGAGCCAGATGACGGCCTCCATGTCCAGGTGGTTGGTCGGTTCATCGAGCAGCAGGCTGTTGCGTGGCAGGTGGCGTCCAAGCARGAACGAATCGAGACAGAATGGAACAAAAACAGATGGAAACAAAAACAATCAAAACAAGAGAAACAGCATGGTGAGCCACGCGGCCTGGTTCCACACCCGTTCGTTTCACCCACACGGCCATCAACGGCTCGAAGGCTCGCAGTCTTTCCCGCGTCGTGTCGTCCGCATCGTATCGTATCGCATCGCATCGCATCGCATCGCATCGCATCGCATCGCATCGCATCGCATCGCATCGCATCGCATCGCACCGCACCGCACCGCACCGCACCGCACCGCACCGCGTCGCGTCGCGTCGCACTCACCACACCGGCTGCAAAAAGAGGGCCCGGGCCAGGCTGACCCGCATCCGCCAGCCCCCGGAAAAGTCCTTGGTCTTCTTGGCCTGCATYTCGTGGGTAAATCCGAGGCCGCTGAGGATCGACCGGGCCCGGACCTCCGCCGTGTCCGCGTCCAGGGCGTCCAGGCGCTCGTAGACCGCGTTGAGGGCGTCCATGATCTCCTCCTGGAGGTCCTCCGGGGTCTTGGCCGCGTCCCCGTCCCCGTCCGAGGCCGAAGCAAACTTTTCGGGGTTGTCGATGACGTCCGTCATGAGCTGGTTGAGGTCCTCCGCCTGCTTCTCGAGCTTGGTCCGCTCCTCGTCGACCTCCATGACGGCGTCCAGGGCCGAGAGCGTGTCGCTGGGCTCGACCTCCTCCTTGAGAAAGAAAATGTCGATCGAGTTGGGGATCGGCAGGGCCCGGGCCCCCAGCGCCTTGAGCAGGGTGGACTTGCCGCAGCCGTTCCTCCCCACCAGCCCGTAGCGGTTCCCGTGGTTGAGGACCACCGAGGTCTCGTCCAGCAGGACGGCCCCCATGTGCAGGAGGGTGACGTTGGTCACGTTGACGTCCCGGGCCCGGGCGTCGACGCCCTTGCGGCTGGTGGCAAAGGTGCAGACCGTCCCGGCAGCCGCGAGCGCGTCCGACGCCTCGTGGTCGATCCCGTCGTCCGCGGTCTTCCCGCTTCCCTGGGGGCCTCCTTCCTCGCCGGCCCCGCCCAGGGCCTCCATCTTCCGGGCCAGGTCCTCCTCGTCGTCCTTGTCGTTCCCGGCGTCCGCTCCTCCTCCCTTCTTGCCCTTGTTCTTGGCCGCCTTTTTGGCCTCGCGCTTCTTCTTGGCCAGGGCCTTCTTTTCTTCCTTGCTCAGCTTCTTTTCGAAGAGCTCGTCGTCCCCGCCCCCCATCGCGGTGCTCTTGAYGAGGACGCTCACGTCTATCTCCTCGTCCTTGCGGSTCTGGAGGGMCTTCTCGAARGCAAATTCGGCCTGCCGGGCCTTTTTCTGGTGCCACTTGGAAGACATGGTGTGTGTGCTTCGGTGGATGTAGTGTTGAGTTGAGTTGAGTTGAGTTTAGTTGTGTAGTGTCGTGTCGTGTGACCAGAACAGAACGGTGGGAATTCGATACAAACCCGATGCAATCCTTGTGGCGTCCCGAGTCCTTGTGTCGGCAGGTGCAATTCCTTCGTGTCAGCGCAGGATAGCAGCCGTTGCGTAGCAGCGCCGTACATCGATCCCGTACCCGTACAGTGCCGACACAACCGGTAGGTACGATACGATACGATACGATACATTGCATCTACGAGCACGGGTACGAGAACAAGTACGAGTATGAGTA